CTTTTTAGATCATGTTCGGGTGGGGGGGGCGCCGGGAAAGACAATCAAGAGCAGCGTGGTACGAGACAGGCCCTGCCCCCCCCACCCACCCCCATCAAAAGGCTTGAGGCCTGTTTCAGGGATCCCAGTCCCTGGTCAACGAGGTAAAAGGTTTGCGGGGCGGTAACCCCGTGGGTGGCGATGGTAGAACCCCCGTTCCCCATGGGTTTTTTAAGAAAAAGAGGATCCCCCTCCTTTCCTTTCCCCCCCCCCCCCCCCCCCCTCCCCCCATCGCATCAACCATCCGTCACCCAACACAACAACGTAGCCAAACGTGTGCCACTGGTCTGCATCTGGTGCAAATCAATTGTCGTGACCTGTTTCTTTCCACCGTCTGATCTCTCTGTCGTGTGCGGCGGCACCGTTTTCTTGATCACCATTTTCTCGCCAATGCTCATGCGCGTCACCCCCATGCTCAAAGCAATAGTTGTTTACGACGACGACGACGGGGCCACGATCTCGTTCGGCACCCGGAACGGCTGCTCGCGCCCAGCAAGCACAAGATCGGCCTCGGGAACAACAAAGGCGAACGAGGGCGGCGGCGGCGGAAGGGCGGGCTCGACAGTTGGCAGGTTGACGTCGCCGTCGAGCTCGATGAGACGGATGCGGAGCTGCATGTCTGCCAGCCGCTCGGCGTCCTCGATTGAGGTCTCGGCCTCGAGCGGCCGGCCGAGGAGCGACCGGATGCCCTCGGTGACGGTGGCAAACGTGCGCCGGTCGGTGGCGGCAAACTGGACGGCGACCTGCGGGTTGTCCTCGGGGCCGATGGGTGTCGCTAGCAAGAGCGCGATCGACAGCGCCTTGTCGAGCGAGACCTGCTTCTTGGGATCGGCAAACATCGGGCATGTGCCACCGGTCACCACATCGGCAATCGAGGCGACCGGGACCTGGACCACGCCACCGATGGCGGCCTCGCCAGCCGCATCCTTGGCCGTGAACGCTAGCAGGCTGCCGAGAGAGTTGAGTTGGAGCCGCACGCCGACCGGCTGCTTGACCTTGCCCGACGGCGGGAAGAAGAGCGGGACGCCGCGCATGAGCACCGCCTTCAGCTGCTCCTTCACCACCGGCATCATCTCCTCCACCAGTGCGGCCTTCATCGCCAGCGTCTGCTCCGTCTCGGCCGTCTCGGCCGTGAGTCCCATCGCCGCAAACGTCTCCTCGATCGATCCGGCCTTGGCCTTGAGCTGTGTCACCGCCTGCCCGGCTGCGCGGACAAGCGCATCAATGCTCGACGGCCGCCGTCCAAGCACCTCCTGCAGCGTCTTGCGCGCAATGGCCACCACCATCGGATAGTCAATGTACTCGCCTCCAAACGAGACCCAGATCTGGTCCGCCACATTGACGCACACGCAGAAGATCTCCTCCACTGCGTTTGGGTGGTCGAGCAGAATGGCAGGCGCCACGTCATGCTCGTTTGCCTTGAGCGCAAACTCCTTTGCCACAAGATCCGCCATGCTCATCGCCGCGCCTGCCAGCGGATAGTCGCGGTCCGTCCGCGTCTGCTGCGACTGGATGAGTGTCGCAAACTCCACCGGGTCCTTGCAGCACATGTAGTGGAGGCAGTGGAGGCCAAACACTCCCGTCCGATTCATGTCTGCCCGCGGATCCGCGTTGGCAAAGCCAAACTTCTTCCACTGCGTCGTCACCTCGCCCTCGAGCTGCTCCGTCGGGTACACCGTGTGCCACAGCATCGCAAGCTTGTCCGCATGCTCAGTCTTGTCGTACGAGAACGACTCCTGGAGCAGAGCCTGCTTTGGCTCCAGCCACGCTGTCATGAACGCCCGCGTTTCGCTAGACTCGGCAAAGCCCGACGACGTGTCCATCACCAGGTTCTTGACCTCGGTCGGAAAGTCGAGCTCGGAGAGCGCCGCGATCATGGCGTTTCGCTCATCTCCCATCTTGGTCGCAAGCAGGAGCGTCGTGATCACAGACAGTGCATGGGCCCGCACGTTGAGATCCGCAGAGTTGACCAGCGCCTTGACCACGGCCTCGTACGGCTTGGACGGCGGCCCGGCGCTCGTCGCCCCGTAAGCGCGAGAACCGCCGCCCGGAGGACCGCAACAGCCTCAGGCCCTGAGCTTCCATATCCTTGCATCAGCGCCAGCGAGTTGGACACAATGTTCGACTTGGGCGACGTGATGCCTTCCGCAATCTTGAACACCACATCCTCGCTCAGAATCGACCACTCGGCGTAGTTCATCGCCAGCGGCAGCACCGCAAGCACTGCTGCGAGCAGGTTGCCCTTGCTCTCCTTCACCAGCCGAATGAGCTCACTGAGCCCGCTGGCGTCGATAAACACCGACGCAAACTCGTCCTCCATCAGCCGCTTCTTCAGCTCCACAAAGATCTTGCGGTCGTCGTGCTTCAGCGCATCAATCGCCATCGGCACCGCAATCTTCGCCCCCAGCTGCAGCTCCAGCGTCTCTCCATCCAGCTCAGCAATCCATTGCGAGCCCCATTCCTACAATTATCCACGCCCAAAGAGCCCAGGGCCCTCACTCTTTCCATGAGTCCTCTCCCACCTCTAGCCACCGTACCATGCATTGCATGCATGCAACGCAACCGATGCCAATCTGAAACAGCCATGGCCAAAAAATGACAGGTCACGCCAGAAGACTCCCCCCTCCCCCTTCCCCGCCTTCCTCCCCCTCCCCTCCTCCCTCCTCCCCCTCCTCCCCAATTCCCCCCTCCTTCTCCCCCCTCCCTCCCCTCCCCTCCCCTCTCCCCCCTCTCCCCCCCCCCCCCCTCCCCCCTCCCTCAGCCCCGCCCCCTTTCCCCCCACGCCCCCTCACACAACAACGAATGCATGTCGACGAAAGAAGCCACCCATGCCCGCGGGCAAACCAGACGAGAGCCAGAAAACAACCGCCACCCCCCAACCCCCCACCCCCCCCCCTGCTTCCCTACCTCTTGCGACACTGCCTTTCGGGAGGTGGCATGGACAAGGACGAGATCAGCAGGTGGACGACCCACCACTCGGCATGCTGTAGACGCAGCCGTAATGGCATCGTAGAACGTTCCGTTTGGGTTGAACGTCATGTCCACAGGCGGGTTTGGCGCAAACATGACCTTAACCGACACGCTCATCTTGCCCAAGTTCTGCGAGTCGAGTCTTGCCGCCCACAGCCATCAACTCGCCCACATCCGTTTTACTCGGGCATCACAATCATGATCGGCACGCTGCCACTCTCGCCCTCATCGTCCTTCTCGTCGTCACTCTCGGTTGCCACAACAATCTCAACCGGCGAGCCCTCTACGTCCAACCGCCCGCCGGCCAACGTCACCCGGATCTGGATGCTCCGCCCGGCCACAAACGACTTGACGTCGACCACGGCCTTGCCGTCGTCGTCGATAGCAATCTTGGTGGCTGCGAGCCCGCCGACAGCCTCGGCACAGAGCCCGACCACGCTCGGGTTGCCCCACTCGTCGCGCGCAGCGCCCACCTCTAGCAGCCGCCGCCACGCCCCGAGCTCAGCTGCCTCACTCGTTCTCCGCACCTCAGCCTTGTGTCCGCACATCGGCCCAGCCCGCACGCAAACCGGCGCAACCAGCCCAGCCCGTGCAAGTGCCAGGCTGTATTGCCCGACGTGGACAAATGCCCACAGCGCCGTGTACGTCCCGTCGCCGTGGTCCATCACCCGCCCGCCCGCGGGGCTTGCCTCCAGCTCGCTGCCGGCCACCGGATTGCCGTGTTCGTCGCGGAGCGCCACCCGCCACTCCACCATTTCGTTGGCGCTCACGCTGCTCTTCGGTTCGGCAAGCACGACGCTCTGCGCCGCGTCGACCTCGCCTGCAGTCACCTCGCATACCCGCCGCGCGATCGCTGTCCGCACCGGCCAGTGGTCCTCGTCTTCAAAGTACACCGCCACCTCGTAAACTCCGATCCTGTCGAGCACAAACTGCGCACCGTACACCCCGCGCCCGATCGCCTCGGCCTCGGTCGCCACCTTCATCCGCGCGCCTGCCTTGGAGCCCCAGAACCACGACCGCCCCGCAGCCACAACCACAATCCGTTGCCGCGCCCCGAGCGCATACTCGTACGCCTCGCCACGCCCGTCCGCCACAGCAACCACCACCCGGCGCTCCTCGCCCGCCCGCCCGCTGTACAGCCCGTTGCCCGTCACCTTGCACGCCTGCGGCCACACCCGCCACGGCGCAAGCGCAACTCCCGAGCCGCCCATCACAAACGGCGTCTTGACAGACATCGTCCCCACCACAGGCGCCGTCGCCCGCCGAGCCAGCACTGCTCGGCCCGCACGGGCGGCCTGTCGCCTCGTCTGCTGCACGCCAGGTAGCATCCGCATACCCAGTCGGCCCATCCCGCCCTCGCCCACCTCGCCTGGCCCAAGCGCCTCCTCCTCCACCTCGCCATGCCACACGTCGTTCGCCCACCCGCAGCCTCCACTCTCCGTCCATCCGCCGTACACAACCATACGTTCACCGCCCATGCACATGACACCGCCAAACCGTCCCAGCGGCAACTCGCCCGAAGTTGCAAGCAGTACCTGGCTCCACTCGCCACTCTGCACGTCCAGCCGTGCAAGATCGCCCAGCAGCCCGCCTCCGCTCCGCCCGCCAAACACATACATGAACTTGCCCACCGCGCTCGCGCTATGCCCCGCTCGCCCCAGCGGTCGTGCTCCCCACGTACTCACAGAACTGAACACCCGGCTCACTCCGTTGTAGCTCACCACGTCGTCCAGATACCCGCGCCGCCCGCGTCCGCCAAACACATACACCAACTGGCTCCCGCCCGCGAGTCCCACCCCGCCGCTTCCGCCGTCGCCACCCGCAAGGCCCACAGCCACCGCGCTATGCATCGACCGCGCTTCAAACTTGCCGCGTACCACAACAGCACGCCACTCCTCGCGCTCAGTCTCCAGCTCCCACACATCGCCGAGATACTGCACACCGCGCTCCGTCACATACTCGCCGCCAATCACAACCATCTTGCTCGCCCCGCCGTACCCGCCGAGCTGAACCGCAGCATGCCACGCCCGCCCGCGCGGCACCTCGCTTCCGCTGCCCTTGCTCCGGCCCATCCGTTGCCAGCTCTCCACCCCGTCTCGCACAACCTTGCCCACAACAACAGAGTCCAGCGCGAGCCCGCTCGCCCCATACCCACCAAACACAAACACCTTGGTCTGCGCGTAGTTGCTCACGCTCGTGTGCCCAAACCGCGCACCATCTGCCAGCGTATGGCCGCCGCTCGCGTACTCGCCGTCGTCCAGCGAGATCATTCCATACTCGTCGAGCACTAGACGAGACTCGAGCCCCGCGAGAACTTCGCCGCCACGCCGCTGCCCTCCACTCCCACCTCCGTCCATCCACCGGCGCTCCACACCGCCGCCGCCGTCTCGGTTGCCTCGCCGTACATGATCGCCAACAGGGCTTGCACTCTGCACGCTCACCAGCCCAGACTCCACAGCCATCCCTGGTGACACCACAAGCTGCACGCCGCCAAGCAAGCCAGCACCCGGCCCGCGCCGCCCTCCACGCCCCCGGCCTCGGCCTCGACCTCGACCTCGGCCCAAACCTCTTTGGCCCTGGCCCCGGCCCCGACTCCGCCCGCGGCCCCGGCCTCGCGGCCCACGCAGCGGCGAGAGCGCCGCCCGGTCCGTCGCGGCCACACCAATCATCATCGGCGGTACAGTTGCTCCGGCCTCAACACCGCCCATGTCCACCCCGCCCTTGGTCCGGAATCCGTACCCGCCAATCGTGAGCACCCATGGCACCGGCGGCGCCTCGCACTTGCTCACCTCTGCCACCACCCCAGCTCGCAGGCTCGCAGGCCCGCCGTAGCTGTACGAGAGGCACCGAAACTCGGCGTTGATCGTCGCCGCAGCGCCGTTGACCACGCCCACACCTACGTGCCCCAGTGGCAGCATCCCAGCAAAGCCAGAAGGCATCGCCACCACCAACAGCTCGTCGCCGTCCACGCTCACACGGCAAACACCGGCGTCTCCACGCACTGCCTCAAAAACCACGCCCAGCTCGTGCTCGAAACCGTCGTTGATGACAGACAGCCCATCGCGGCCGCTCACGGCCCCCCACACTCGCCCGCCACCGTCACAGTCCCACGACCGCATCACCAACCGCGTCTCCACCCCAAACTCAAAACCAACAACCACCCGCCCCCGCGGCGCAGGCTCACCGGCCTCCAACTCATCGGAAAACACAAGGCCCGCACGCCCAGCAACCACAGATCCGGCACCGCCGCGAGCCTCCAGGAGGCCCGCTGCTGCCGATGGCCCCACGCTCACGAGCACGCCTGCCGAAAACCCGTCCGCAAGCATCTTACGCGTCTTGGTCAGCAGGCTGCACGCCGCACGCGGCCGCTCATGCCCGGCCTCGAACCCGCCGGTCACCAGCGACACGCTGCCGGGCCCAAACACCTGCCATCCCGGCTGAAGCGCAGACTCGCCGCCTACGCCGTCAAACGTCGGAATAAGAAGCGGGGCAACCTCGGCCTGCCACACGCCCACAGCCACGCGCTCCACGTCCCAGCTAAGCGCCACCACGTCCGCTGGCCCGGTCGCAGGCCCTTCGCCGCCGCACACCACCCGCACCCGCTTGCGCGCTAGTCCCAGCTCCTCAAGCACCCGCGCCACAGCCTCAGCCCGTCCGCGCGCCAGCGCGTCAGATCCCAGCCCCGGCGCGCTCCGTTGGCTCCCAACCGCAAACGCCCGCGCCACGTGCCCGGTAACATTGATCGAGAGGAACGGGAACCGCTCCATCAGCCGCACCACATCCCGCAGCGCACCAGCCTGTTCCCGCTTAACAAACGCCGACAACCGCTCGAACAAGATCGGTGGCTCCAGCACAGGTCCTGCGTTAGTCATCCGCACTTGCGCCGTCACAAGCAGCTTGGCCAGCGGCGGCCGTGTCCGCCGCCCCGCAAGCTTGCCCAGCCCCACCTCGATCAGCTTCTGGTACGCATACCCGCGCCCGATCACCAAGCTCCCGCTCTCCACACGCGGCGGCCGGGAAACCGCCCGTGGTGCATCAGCCACCGCGGCGGCATGTCCTGCGTGTACACGCTCCCGCCAGCATCCATGTCAACCAGCTGCACGTACACGTCGCGCACCCGATACTCGGCAGATGCCTCGCGGCTCCAGAACATGAGCCCCAGCTCACAAGCGTCGTCACTGAGCACTCCGCTCACCTCGTCCTGCACCAGCCACAGCTCTTCCGATGCCGAGTAGACGCCAACCCACGGCGAGCGGCCGCTCTGCCTCCCGTTCCGCGGCACGCCCACCACCACAGTGAACAGTTCGCCGAGGCGCGAGGCGTGCCACCCGCTCACCGCAGCTTCGCTGTCCAGCGCAGGCCCATCCCAGGCCATAGACTCTTCCTTGGCCGTAAACACCGCCTTGCCCGAGACCACAGCCCCACCGGCCTCACCCACACGCGGCGCGCCCTGTCGCAGATAACCGACGTACCGCCGCTTGTCGCCGACGCCCACAAACAGCGACTCGCGCTTCAACTCACCGCGCGCCTTGTGCAGCGACTCCACATGGACACGAATCGCAATGACCCACCGAAACCGCGCGTCCAGCTCGCCCACCGCATGCCCGGCAACAAGCACGCCCAGCGGCTGCTCCGGTACTTCCACAACAGAGCCACGGACTCGCTGCTCGTACTCCCGACAGACTCGCTCAGCCTCCGCTGTCGGCGCCACCAGGCCCCACACCCCGCGACTCAGTGCAGCCAGCGAGACGCTCAACACCCGCCCACCGATCCCGGCTTCGCTTCCAACTGCAGCTCCTGAGTCCACTGCCACCTCTCGCGCCCATATTCCAATATCCACAAGCGTCTCTGCGCTCACAGCGTCGAGCGTCCCTTGCCCAGCGCCAACTGCCACCGACGACACCCGTGTTCCACCGTCGAGCCCGGTGCTCGCCACAACCGCAAACAGCGGTCGCGTAAACACGTCGACAACATCAGCGTCAAACACCTCGCCAACGCCCAGCTCGGCGAGACTCTCGGCTGCCAAAACTCGGACTCGGACAACAGACACTCCAAAGCTGAGGTGAATAACCAGCGGCCGCCTCTTGCTCTTTGCATCACTCGACCACTTCATGTCCACCTCGTGGAGGCCGTCGAGACTGAGCTCAACTGGGTCGCCGTCGTCACGCCCGGCCACCACCCTCGGACTTCCATCATTCTCCACGCACACCCCAATCAGCCGCTGCGTGTCCGACACGCCAAACATGCATGCGCCCTCGGACTCCACCCTCATCTGCAGCCAGAGCTGCGGCCGCGCTCGCGGCAACGCCCCATGAACCACCATCGCTTGACTGCGCAAGCCTCCGTCACACACCCCCAGCGTGAGCACTCGCTCGCGCGCGCGCCCCTTGGACACGCAAACGCCTGCAGACGTCAGTTCAACCGCACGGTTGAACCGTGCTCGTTGCGCAAGTTCGCTTGCGCTCAGCCGATTCACCACAGGCACGCGCCCGCCGCCGCCCACCGCCACCACTGCGCCCTTGATCACAAACTCACCGTGCGCAAGTGGCGAGTAAACCTCCACGCCAAGCGAAGCAAGGTCCATGCTCGCCACACAGTCGCTCCGTCCCGCGAGCCACTCTACCGTCACCCGCCCGCCAAGCCCGTGCCCCATCACCACAGGCGCCGCCGCCGGGCTCTTCAGCCGCGCCAGCACAGCCTCCACAGGCAGCGTCGAGACAGCGAGCTCCGGCGAGGCTGCAAGACCCTCGCCGCTCCGCGCCGCCCACCACGCCCCATCACAGCCCGCGCCCACAAACGTCACGCCCACGTTCCACGTTCCGCTGCGTGACACCCGCTCTCGCAGCGTCGGCGCTACCACAGGCAGCCACTGCCCACTCCCGGCCGAAAGTATGTCGCCGGCCCGCGCCCAGCCCATTTGCCCGAGCACTTCGTCGTTTCGCATCCACTCGTCGCCACTCTCCAGCCCCGCGAGCACTTGCTCAAAGCCCACAAACGTGGCCCCGTCAGACAGCGCAACCACAATTGGGACGCTCCCAGCGCTCACGCTCGTCGGCTCCACGTGGAGCGAGACATGAACTATGATCGGCGAGCTCACCGCCAGAGGTGACCGCCACAACGACTCGAGCTCCGGCCACACCACCGTCGCCGGACCGCACAACCCGTCCCGCTCTCGCTGATGGCACCCGCACCGGCACACTTCGCTCGGTACTCCTGCAAGCGCACCATACTCAAACCGCGAGATCCTGTGCCGAAGCCATGACGCCCCAGGGCCAGACGTGCCAGTAAAGCCGAGGTAGCCGGCTGCAGGCACGTCGCCGCTCACAAGCCGCGCCGCCATAAGCGGCACGCCATCGATCTCGACATGCAGCAGCGGCGCCTCCACAGAGCTCGCCGGCTCGTACCGCACAAGCACCTCGTGGACGCCTCCGTCGCACAGGTCGCCCACGTTCTCGACGGCTGCCACTTTGCCGCCGTCATGCGCAGAGTGGACGCCCAGCCTTGTGTAAATCGGCCCATCAGGCTGCTGACACGAGACAAATCGGAGCGAGAACGCGTCCTCCAGCCCAACACAGCCAAGCCCGGCGCCCGAAAAGCCGAGCGCCTGGAACCGCGCTGGGTCGTTGTGCGCCACAAGCGCAAAGCCAAGTCCGAGTCCGCCGTCGTCGCGCTCGGCCTTGTACTCAAACACAACCACAAATCCGTCCGCCAGCAGCCGCCGCGTGAGCAGAAACCCACCACCGGTCGATCCCTGTTTGTGCAGCGTCGACGCCACACCCTGCGGCGGCGCAGGTGTTAGCTGCAGCTCGCCGTTCTCCACAATAGCAGGTCCCGATGTGTACATGCCCGCCGTCTCAAACACCATCGACGTGTGCGAAAACGCCGCGTCGAGTCGCTGCCCATTCGTGACCTGCACCAGCGGGAGCGGCAAGCCCTGTGCACGCCGACACTCGCAGCAAAGCACGGCGCTCGCTGAGCTTCGGCAACAAGCGCCACGCTCAGTGCCTCCTTGCTCACGTCCACGTCGTCAAGCTCGTCCGTCGTCTCTACAAGCGCATCGTTGAACTGCCCGTCGCCAGACTCACTCGACGACTCGCTCCAGCTCCGGCCCCGCCGTCGCCGCTTGGGGGAAGCCCGCTCCCGCCCCTCAGCCACGGCATGCGCCAGTGCCGGTCCGGGCGGCATCCGCCGCAGCACTCGCGAGAGCGATCGCGGCGCCTTGCAGTCGTGGTGCGGCCGAATGAGCGACGAGAGCAGGCCCCGACTCGGGCTCGAGCTCGCACCGCCCAAGCTTGCCAGCACACTTGCTCCGCTTCGACGTGTCAATGACCGTGACAGCGCGCGCGTCACCAGCGCCACTTCGTCGTCGTCGTCTACATGCCTCCGGCCGTGCTCAACCGCCGGAGGCGCCATCAGCGCCGCGCACGACCGGCGCTGGCCAGGCTCAAGAAGTCCAAAGTACTCGTCCGCCGTCGAGAGCGGCGGTTTGTATCTGTTGTCCTCGCCCGTGTACCCGTGCCGTGAACCAAAGCCGAGAACTCCCGACTGCGTATGCGTCGCCAAGTCGTACACTCGCTCGCGGCACACATCAGGCGCGCGACTCTGCTTGTGGCCAGGTAGCCGTCGCGCCCGTACCGTCGCCACGCTGCCAAGCACCCAACTCTGCTCCACAGCTCCGGCGCCGGGCCCAGAACATGCCTCGCAACCGCACACATCCGCCGCATACCCGTATCGTACAACCGTTTCGTCTGCCAGTGGATACTCGGGCCACGCCACAGGTCCCCGCGGCAGCACAGCCTCCGCCTCCACCTGTACATGGCATCCACACACGCAGTCGTCAGCAACGCTCGGTTCCACAATCTGGTCAGCTCTCGTTGGCGCTGCCGCGTCGTAGCCAAAGTCAAACACCACGTTTGGGAGCGGCGACGTCGAAGGAGGTGCTCGGAGCGCCACAGTCTGCTGGCATCCGCCCCGGACCCGATCATTGTCGATGCCCATCGACACCAGCATCTTGCATACCCGCCTCGCCCGCGCACTCGCCAGTTTGTGATGTCGACGCGAGACCGCAACGCCCGACTGTTCCGGCACCGCAGAGACAAGAATGTGTACCCGCGCCCGCGGATAGAGCGCGAGCACGTCGTAGACTGCCCGGATACCAACCGCGTTCGACGGTGACGGCATTCGGAGTGCACTCTCGCCAAGCATGAAAATCAAGGGGAGTGTGAGCGTGCCCACACCGCCGCGGATCCGCAGCTGCGGCGTAGATGCCGCCTCGGGCACACAAAACAGCGCACCCACACACCCGCAGCACCCGGCGCCGGAAGCTGCTTCCCAAACCGCAGGCTGAGGTGCGGCGTGGCACTCGCACCCACACGCGCGATCGGCCGCCGACGGCGGTACCACCACTGGCGCCAGCTCCACTCGCCCGGACCCGCGCCGCCCATCGGGCGCCCCGCTCGACGTGTGGATCCGGACTGGGTCTACTCCGTTGTCGACAAGAACTGCCTTGACCGCCGCTGCTCGCGCGAGAGCCAGCTCCTCCGGCCGCCCGTACCACAGACCTCCCGACGCATCGTACCACGGATACACGCCGTCGGCCAGCAGACCGCTCACCCGTCCCACAACGCTCAGCTCTACAAAAAGTACCGCACCAGCAAGTGATACGCCGCGTTGAGCAGCCGCTCGTTGACCAGCGATGCCGGCGCAAGCATTGCCGAGCACGCCACAAACTCAATGTGAGCTTCAAACTCGACAAGCCCCGGCCCGCTCCGGTACAGCACTCCTGGCATGTCGTCCAGCGAGCTGTACTCGCGACGCAGCGCGCATTGACAGCACGCATGCGCCCGCGCTGGCGGCGGTGCAAGCGTCGGGGGCTCCCACTCGTTGTGGCACCCACACTCGCATACATGCCGCGGCAGTCCCTCCCGGAGTCGCGCTGCGGTTTCACGCTCTCGCTTCGCCGCCCGCCGGTCGGCCAGCCGCTCAGCGTCGCTGTCAGCCACCAGCGTCTTCGCCGGCTGTAGAATGGCGAGCTCCGTCCTTCCGCCCCGCGCATCAGACCCGGCCCCGCGCCCCTCCAGGCGATCCGCGGCGACGCCGCGCTCGACAAGCGACGCTACTACCGTTGCTGCTCGCATCGCGCACAAATCCATGTTTGACGCGCCAGCCACAGGCTCGCCCTCGGCATCGCGCACATTGTCGTGTGCCCGATGGTCTGCCGTAGCGTCATACCAGTGTGGGTCGCTCCGCCACACGCTCACGCACCATCGAGTGTGTGGCGAGCGTGCAAGCAGCGAGGCCAGTCCATCCAGCACGAGCTTGTTGAGCCTGTCGGTATCCTCGAGTCGTGCCCCGCACGCCTCCCACTGCAAAGACCGCTTGAACACAATCCGGCTGCCTTTGATCGCCAGCAGTGGCGACGAAAAGCCCGGTACCTGCAGCTGCGGCACAACGAGGCAGCTGGGACAGCAACTGGCGTGGCAATTGCAAGCACACGCCGCTGTAGTTCCAAGCCGATGGCACGCACACGCACATGCGTCAGAGTCGCCATGCATCGGCTCAAACGAAAGCGAGTGAATCGCAAACGTCGAGTGCGTGAGCGACGAGTGCGAGCCGACAAAGCCAACAAAGCCGACGTCCGGCAGCGCCTCGCGCGGCAGGTCAGCAGTGAGAATAACGCGCTCATTGAGCGAGATGACGACGTGCCCGTCAGGCCCGACAACCATGCCCACACTTTGCTTATGAGGCGTGAGCAGCGACGGTGCGTCGGGAAAGAGTGCCAGCGACGAGTCATGATGCGATGACAGCGGCGTGTCTGGCGACTGCCGCACTTGGAGCGAGATGTGCGGTGTGTGCCGCGGCACGCCAGTGTCGACGTGGTGGTGGTGGTAGACGTCAAACTCAAGCGCAATCGCGTTGCGGATGCCCGCATACCCGTTGCCGTCACCAGCCCGGCCTTCGGCGAGCGGGCCAGCGGGATCGCTCTGTAGCACAAGTGCGAAGCCGTCACCGGGAATCGAGCCCATCATCGTGCGGATGCTAAACTCAAAGTGAAGCTCAAAGCCATCGGTGAGGAGCCGCGGTTCCCGGACCCAGCACGCGCCCACCGATGACGTCCGGGTCGCCGGCGGTGTGGCAGGTGTCAGCAGGAGCACCGACGATTCGTCAACAGCAGCCACGCCACAGAGCGAGAGGAGTGAGTACGTCTCATCAAAGAACGGCAGCTCCACCGACGAGAGCAGCCGCGCAACCTCAGACTCGGAGACCCGCCCAAGATGCGCCCGGCACGAGCAGCATCCCAGCGATGCCTCGGCAGAGTACGACGTCGGGAGTGCTGTCGGTCGGGTCACGCCCTTGCAAGCGCACTCGCCACACACGTTCTCGGGCTTGGTCGCCAGATACGGGCTCGATGCCCCGCCGGCGGCAAGTTCCGAGAGCGAGACCGCCGCCGCAAGCGCAAGCCCACTTCGCCTCGCCTCTTCGCCACGCTCGCCGTGACAGAGGCACTCGCAATTGCCGCATTGTGTACCACCACAGTGCTCGATCATGGCGTCGACAAGGTGGGGCGCAAAGGCTCGCGGCGGGAGTGTGGATGTCAGCTCAAACAGCGGATGGCAGTCGCACACACACCCGTCGCTTCCGCCGAGCACGCTCGACGGAACGGTAAAAGTCCATCGCCCGACGTCGTGGGTCGACGCGCTCGTCTCGGGATTACTCGCAGCAAAGCCAAGAACAAACGCCGGGTAGCTCACCTTTTCGGTCTCGTTGCTCAGCTCAGCGCCAAGCAGTGCCCGTGGGAGCGTCACACGTGCCACCTCGTCGTAGTCGAGCTCAACCACCAGAAGCGCGTTGGTGCCGATGTACTCGACGTGAACGGCGTGAAAGTCGCCATCGAGCACACTGCCCAGCACGCTGTGATCGTCGACGCTCGCGCGCGCAACCTCGATCGGCACTCCACCACATTGAGGCTCATACATCTCGACCACTAGCTCGGCGCCGCGCGAAGCCGTCGCCGGCGACGTCTCGAGTCTGAGGCCGAGGCCGCGAGCCGGACCGCTGCCTGGAGCCGGCGCAAACGAGGAACCGGCCGCGTCGGCCTGGATGAACGCAGTCACGCCCGAGCCGGGCGTGGCCGGTAGCGACGGTGCCAGACGCACTTCGAACTCGAGCAAGAAGCCTCGGCCAACAATCCGCGGCTGGCGGAGCCACACGGCGCCAGCAGCATCGATCTCATCGGACGTGAGTCTGATCACATTGGCTGTGAGGGAGGCCGCACCAACAAGTGCAAGCTGCGACGCAACTTTGCGCGCCTTAAACGAGGTGAGGAGCAGCGGCATGTGCTCCGGTGTGAGGACCGAGCAGCCGCAGCACGGCGGTGAGCATCCGCAGCAGTGCGATGCAATTGCCAGCGTGCCAGCCTCGATGGCTGCCATCGTTGCTGCGGTTGCAGCAGAGGCCTCGACCTCCAGCATTTTCTCAAGAGTCCGGATTCCAGACTCATCCACGCCCTGGTGGTGAACCGTGTAGGCCTGGGAAAAGAGCCCGATGTAGCTCGGATTCGACTCTGGCCTAACGACGCACTGGTGGCAGCCACACTCGCATGAGACTGATGCCACCGTCCGTGGGTATCGTGCTCTTGTCGGCGGAGCTGGGAGCTCTGGTGCATGGCATGAGCACATGCATTGCGCCTCGCTTAACGACGCCGGGTCGGTCTCGGGCTCGACCGTCAGCTCTGCGACGTTGACCGAGCGTGCGAGCGTGTTGGTGGCGTTGGCGGTGAGTAGTGCCGGAACAGCGATCGGAACGAGCCGGGCGACCGGAAGGACAACCGCGAGCACGTCCTCGCCGTTGAGGCCGACGTTCAGCGCGTGGCCATCGCCCGGTGCATAGACAAGGTCGATGGTGACTGGAAGGATGCCAAGCCGCAACGCTTTGGCGTCGGCGGCTGGCAGCGTGCCAGTAACTGTCACGTCGTCACTGGCTTCACCGTCAACCTCGAGCGGCCCAAGCGTGGAGACGACGGTTAGCGTAAAGGTGACGTCGCTCTTCCGCGACTCAACCTGCTTCAGAACGACGGTGACCGAGAGCGGTGCGCCGCGCGACCGAGGATCGGCCTTGGCCGCGTTGGCCGCCCACCGCGGGTCGCGAATGGCATGTGTAGCTGGTGGAAAGAGCGCAAGAACCAGTGGCGCAGAGGTCTGCGAGTGTGACATCTCAATCTCGCCGGCGCCGCGGAGGTAGAATCCGTTGGCAAGAAGCGACGGGAGCGAGTGCGCAACGTAGCCAGTCGCTGATGCGGTCGGTCGTCGCGGAAGCAGCGCAATGCCGTTCAAGCTCTGCTCTCCGGGCTCGGCAACGTCAAGCAGGCCCGAGCCCGACTTGGAGAACAAAGCCGCTGCCGGTGACATCGGCGTCGTCGGCGTCGTCGGCGTCGTCGGCGACCGCGGAGACATGCCCTCCAGTAGCGGTGTAGCCTGGCCGCCGAGCACAACTTGCGCCAGCGAGTGAACCGCCTTGAGTGTGATCAGGCTCGGCAAGTCGGAAAGCGCCGCGCCCTGCTCCTCGCGGCATGTGCAACAGTAGAAGTGGTGCGCGAGCACATCGTCCGGTTTGTGGCACCGGCATACACAGAGGTCAGCATCGGCCGCACTCGAGACTGGTCCAGTCAAGTTGGTCATGTGGTACGCCAGCGAGAGTGCCGGCCCGGTCACCGCCCACCCGAGCAGCGACTCATTGACCGTCATCGTCATGTACATGCCGCGCGAGAAGGTTTGCGGAACGGGCCAGGTCGGCCGCGGGCTTGGCATGTCAAGTGTAGTGTCCGGGATTTTGTCGAGCGACGCCGTAGAGCCTGGACCTGACCGGCACAGCCGCATCGACCGCAGCTGGAGCGCAGGACCTGGCGAGAGGACAGGCACCAGCTCCAGCTCGAGACTGTACTGCGCGCCATAGAGTTCGCTGGCTTCCATCGGCCATGGAATGACCACGCTCTCGGGTCTGCCAGCGACCGGAGCCAGCGTCACGCCGCTGTCGGAGAGCGAGACCGCCAATAGGGTGGCGGCCTCGCTCGGGATAGGCGACGAGATGATGCCAAAGATGAGCGGAGTGAGGTCGAGGACCCGATCGGGCGTCTCACAGAGTTCAAAACCCCAGACCACAAGACCAGGATCGAGGACTGACTTGGGCGCCTTGAGCACATGATGAACGTAGGCCGAGCCAGGGTGGGGGAGGTGATCAAAGACAGCCGAGTCCTCCAACGGGTAGGTCATGGCCAGAGGACGGAGCAGCGGGAGGACGTCCGGGACGGCAATGTTATGAACAAAGCGACACGAGCAGCAGTAACAGCCGCCAGCACTGATGATATCTGCCGCCTGGCACTTTGTGCACTCGCAGCAAGCGAACATGTGCTTTAGCGCCGCAGATGCCGCTGTCGGGTTGGACAGTGCCGCCACCGACGCGTGGTGCGAGAGCATGTGCCCGTTGGAGCGTTGGACAGGTTAAGGCAAAGACAGAGAGGGAGCGCGCGTGTGTGTGTGGATGGAGGTACCTGTGTTCGGCTGCGGTGCAATGTGGCGTGGGTTGACCTCTTGTGAGAGCAGTGTAGGGAGTTAACGGCGATGAGAGGGGACGGGTTGAGGGAGTTGACAAATGGGGCGGCGTCAGCGGGTTGGCCGTTTGGCGCGAGCGCGACGGCTGGCGGGTGCGCAAGCACGTTGATCAGATGGGTGCGTTCAACGGTTCAAAATGGCCTACAATGAGAACATCGAGTTAGAGGTAGTCATGTTGGCCGAGACGGCACGCTCGCGAGGATCGTCGGCGTCGGCGTCGGCGTCGGTGGCTACGTCGGTGTTGTCGTCACCAGCGAGAGCACCGAGCGGATCGTTGACGGTGGCAAAGGGATCCGCCGGAGCACGCGCCGTGCCGCGAGAGCGGGATGTTGATGCGCGGGCACTCTTCTTGCGGCGCTTTTTCTTCGACACAGCGCGCTTGGCGATGGGTTTGGGTGTGTCCGGCTTGGGGACACGCGGCGGCGGCGGCTCGTCGCGGCTCGAATCACGGCGCTGCTGGAGGATAGCGGCGATGCGGAAGACCTCGTCGTCGTCGTCATCGAGATCACCTTTGCTCTCGTCGCCGTCGCCGTCTCTGCCAAAGAAGCCACGTGACTCCCGCTTCTCGACCGCCGATGTGGTGCGGAAGAGGTACGAGTCGGCACGGGTCGCGGCGGTGTTGGTGGGCAGCCGCGAGGTGGTCGACGAGAGCTCGGGGCGGCCGAGGCCAGCGTGCAGCGCCGAGTGTGCGGGTGCCGAGCCGGCCACAGTGTCCGGCACCGACGCCGCTGACGGCTCTGAGACGTTGAACGAGCTGAGCATGTCCGGCTCGTAGCCGATGCCAGTCGAGCGATACGAGCCGGCGATCGAGGCCGCACCTGACGTCGAGCCGCCGGTCGGGCGCGCGCTGCTGGCACCAGGGATGGCAAGCGCGCCGGGTGGCACTGGGCCGCAGGCAGCCTCAACTTGCGCCGTCAGCATCCGCGCCGCGACCCGCGCGCCCGGCATGGCCGGGCTAGCCTCTGGCTCGCACACAATCGACGTGAGGTCGTCGAGGACCGAGACCATGGTGTCGTCGATGAGGCCGTGGACAACCTCGTAGTGGGCGTCCTTAACCTTGGACGAGAAGCGGTACTTTTGCTGTACACGCGCAACCAGCGCGTCGGCCTCGCGAAGCATGCGATGCATGCGCTGTAGCGTCGAGTTGCGGAGCGGGACAACAAGGCTCGACGAGAGCAGCGGCATCAAGACTTCCAGTCGCTTCAGCACAGCGTACGCAGACAGCCGCTTATCGGAAATGTCCATCGAGACCGGGCCAAATGCAAGGAGCGTCTCGAGCGAGTCGCGGATGCGGGTGACCAGCGGCGAGGACGGCGGCTGCATCGGCAGCATACGGAGGAGGACGCCCATGACGTGAGGCGGGAAGCCCGGGACCATGGCAGTGGCGTGAGGGAGTGGTTGCGGCGCAGCGGCAGGCGCGGGCACGGCAGGAACGTCCGGAGTGGCTTCCGGCGTGGGTTCCATCGCAGGTTGTGGGGTGGGCTCGACCGCGGGCTCGGCTGCGGGCTTGGCGGTGGGCTCCGGCGAGAGAGCGGCGGTGAGCGACGACTTGGCTGGCCCGCGATGCGCAGGTGTAGAGGGCGCAAATGTGACGGAATGTGTGGTGTGCTGCGCGTCAGCGGCGCCAGCGGTGGCGGCCTCGGTGCCAGCGACGGCGGTCGGGGCCGTCCCCAGGCTCGCGGTAAGGGCGTCGGCCTTGGCCTGGGCGCGGACAGCATCACTGCGGGCACTCGACAGCTGTGCGCGGGTAGCAGCAAGTGACTGCTCGAGCTCGACAATGCGCGCATCGCGGGCGCCGGCGTCGGCGGCATGCTCAAGCCGGAGCTGGGCGGTGGCGTCGGCAAGCCGAGCCTCGTAGGCTTCGCGGAGCTTAGCAGTCTCGGCCGCCTTCTCGCCCTCCCACTCGGCCTTGGAGCTCTCGAGAGCAGTGTTCTGCTCTTTGAAAACTCAAACTCCTTGCGTGTAAGCGAGATCTGGGTCCCGTGCTCCTTGCGCAGCCGCTCGACGACAGCAGCAAGATGGTCTTCAAAGGCACGCTCGCGCTCGAGCGCTGCAGCGCGGGACTCGGCCTCCCATTTGCCCTGCAGCTGACCCAGCCGCTGCTTCCACTTGCTGTTGATCGTCCGCACGTCGTCCTCGTGTGCCTCGGCCATGCGGTCGCGGTAGGCGCGGAACTTTTGCTGCAGGACCTGGATGCGGGCCTCGGCGGCGGCATCGGCCGATGCCCGGTAGTTGTCCTCAGTCAGCGCTTCTAGCTCGTCGACTCGGCGCGCAAGCACATTGCGCTCCTCCTCCAGCTCCTCGACCTGCTCCTCCAGCGCCAGCCTCGCCTTGATCCAGCGCGCCTGCGCTGCAGCATGTGCCTCGCGCGAGAGGCTGTCGCCGTCATCGCCTCCCTCCCTGTGTCCGCTCTCCACCGCCTCGGCCGCACTGGGGCGATGTGCCTCCGAGTCAACCACTGCCGCCAGCGCCGCGGCCTTGAGCCACGGCGCCGCCAAATACGCCGCGAGCTGGCGAGCAGGCAAGCCGCGGGCGCCGAGCGAGGTCGCCAGCTGGGCAGGGGTGCCGGTCAGCGTTGCCGTGCCCTTGGTCCACACGCCGACGACTCCTGGCTCCAGCGGCGCTCCAGCGACCAGTAGCAGCAGCGTCGCCGGTAGCGAGCGGACTACCACCGCGAGGTGCAGCAGCGTACCGCCCGTCAGCTCGCCGAGCGAGTAGCTGAAGGCACGCGGGAGAGGGAGGCCCAGCACCGCCGGGCTCGGCCGCTCGGTCAGGAGCACCCGCGCTAGTTGCAGCACGTCGTCCTCAATCAGTGCCGCATACAACGCCTCTACTGTCGGGTGGGGAACGTCTGCCTCGGCCATGGCGACGAGTCTTGGTGATGCCGCACCCGACGCCAAGCACGTGCGCACGTGCCCCAAGTCCGAGCCCGGAACCGGAGCCTGATCACGATCGCCTGCCAGTTTGTCATCTCCAGGAAAAGGCCGTGAAATCGAGCGGGCGTTCCTTGCCAGCTCGCCCAGCGAGCGCGGCGAGGGGTAGGCACCGACAAGGCCGTGAGCAGGGTGGTGGCAGTTGACTGCCCTTTCTCGCGACGCACTACCACTTGTCTTGGTGGTTGTGCCGCGGGAGCATGAGGTGGTTTCGGACCTCCCAGCCGCCGCCGGTGGATGAGGAGGCCGGTGGCTTTCTTGGTGAGCTCAACAACTCGCTCACTATGTCAACGTCGACGGTACGGCAACGCGAGGGCGCGAGGGTGTGAGAGCGCGAAGGGGAGCGTGGGGTGAATGGGAATGGACTCACGGAATGTGTGGGCGGGAACATGTGTGGTTGTGGTTGTGGATGCGGCTGGGCTTGTGGCTGGGCATGTGGCTGGGCTGTTGACTTGGCTGGCTGCTGTTGCTCTGGCTGTGGCGGCGGCTGGTGTCGATGCTGCTGATTGTTGCTGATGCTGGCTTCGGGGGGGGATAGAGATTCTACGGCTTTGTCATCACCTTTGGTCTTGGGATGATTCTCTCGCTGTTCTCGACGACGTACCTGACAACGCTGAGGCTGTACAAGTTTGCGCTGGTGTACACGCTGGGCAACATTCTGTCGATTCTGTCGTCGATGATGTTTGTGGGGCCGGCACGGTACATGACGAACATGTGCAAGGCATCACGGCGAGGCGCGTCGATTGTCTACTTTCTCTCGCTGGCTTGCACGCTCTACTCAGCGCTGGTGCTCAAGGCCCGGCCGACAACCGTCGTCTTGGTCCTTGTCCAGGTCTCGGCGCTGGCCTGGCTGTACCTCTCGTACATTCCGTATGGGCGCAAGATCGTGCTCTCGTGCCTCAAGTCGACGTGCGGCTCGGCGCTGTCGTTCAATTGAGACTAAGAGCTCTGCGGCGAGAAGGGCGAGGGTATCACCGGCGGGAGGGGCCGCTGAGCCGGGCGCGGCGGGCGCGGCGGGCAAAGAGCACGTCGTGGCGATCCTGCATCCGGTGGACATCAAGCTCCTTTTGGCGGACGAGAACCACCATGACCGCAACCATGACCGCAACCATGAGCGGCATTGTCGACGAGATAGTCGTCATGTTGGTCGGCGCCGTCTCGTGCACAAACTCGCAGCACTCGAGATCGGCGCGCGCCTGCTGCAGCGTGCTCGCCGCCCGCGCCGCAAACTCGTCCATACGCCGGCGGGCATCAACAACAAGCTCAAGGTACCCAGGCGCGCCATCCATCCACGCCAGGAGCGCGGTTCGGATGGCGCCCTCCTCGCGGGCGAGCTCGTCATGGAGGTAGGCAACCGTCTCGCGGACCCGCGACGAGGCGACCAGCACCTCGGCGTAGCGGTAGTGGAAGAGCCGGTCAATGAACAGTCGCTCGCCGAGCATCGTCGCCGCGTGGCTGTGCGAGAGATCATCGCCAGCCGCGTTGTACATTAGCTCGCGCGCAAACTCCTCCGCTGCGTCGACGACACTCTCGTAAAGCCACACGGCAGTGTCCATGTGCCGCATCGCCTCGCTCATCAGCACCCGGCCTCGCACCCCATCGGCGTCGCCAAGGCTTTCGTACCCACGCGCAAACTCACCGTACGCATGCCCGCCTACTGCCCATTGGTACGAGGTCTCGATCTTGCCCCGTGCCGCAGACCAGGCCTCGGTGTAGGGGACGAGGCCGGCGACGGCGCGAGCGATGCCGGCCAGCACCGGGCGCATAACTCTGCGCGAGACTGCCGTCCGGACTCCGCTGACGTCAAACAGCGGCAGCAGAGTCTCAGCCTGCGGCGCCAGGACTAGGACGCAGTCATCAAACGCCACCACCCGTGAGCCGTCGCCAAACAACACGCCGCGCGGGAGCCGCGCGAGCTCAAAGACGTAGACAGGCACCACACGTGCATGTGGCTTGGCCTCGCCGCCGCGACTCTCAAATAGGATCGAGTGGTATGGCGAGTTTTCGAGCAGGCCGCCAGCGAGCATGTCCGACGCCTCTGCAAGCGCAGCGCGAAGGAGGTTGGCGTCGATGTACGGCCGCGAGACGAGAGTGTACTCGGGCGACTGAGCGCGGTCGCCTGTGCGCGTGACAGCCTCCATCCGCGAGCCAGCGACCAGTGCCTGCTGCAGCGCCATAGCCACGTGCTTGTGGTCGTGAAGCCCGTGCCGCCCGTGCGCCACAAGGACCGACCGCCACGGCGTCGTCAGCTTGGAGGCTTCGGCCAAGACCGCCTCTACGTCAACCGCACGCACATACGCGTTGTCGGCGACAACCGAGTCGTGGAACTCGACAATTGAGACGAGGACCTTGTCAGCCGCCGAGTCGGGCTTGAGTGCGCGGAGCGGCGTCGCTGCCGGAACCACGTCCGGAGCAAAGACCCGCTCCATGGCCGAAATGACGGTCTGCGCCAGCGCACCGGCTTCGAGCGTACCGGATCGGCGCGGAAAGGTCGAGCGGAGGACAGACGACGGGCCGTGGTCGATGCGGCCAAACTCGAGGACGGCGGCCTCGACGTCGACTACCACCAGCCGGCCAGATGCCCCGACCCACGCCGACGTCGCCCCTTCGCCGGCGTAGCTGTAGCCGTACGCGCCAACAGAAGCGTCGACACCGGGCGCCACAAAACCACCGTACCCAGCAGCGGCAGCGCATGCTGGACATCGGCGCTCGCCGCAGGAGCAGCCGTCACCACGTTCTTGTTGATAAAGGCCTCGACTTCCTCCGCGCCGATGAGGCGGACATCGTCGACGAGGACGTCACTCTCGGCCGTCCCGGTATCGCCCCGCGGCACAGCCACCGTATCGCCGTTCCGATCTGCTGACATGGCCCGTGCAGTAATGAGCGATGCAATGCCCTCATCAACGTTATCTGGAGTGACTCTTGCCGTGTATGCCATGCCCAGTCCAACCCTCACTCTCCGTGGACTCTCCCCATCCAGTAGCCAGGGAACATGAAGAGGATGAACCGATGAGAGCAGCGCAGCCACCGCAGGAGCCATTTCCACACCAATTTCCTTCCATCCTCGTCCAGCAAGAACAACCTCGACATGGTACGGCAGCATCACCGGTGGGCTGCTTGCTCCTTGCCCGCTGCCGCCGCGAGCTGCTCCGCCTGCTGCTCCGCCTGCTCCGCCATGCCCAACGGTAGAGGTGGCCAGAGCCACCACGGCCACAACCACGACAATTGCGGATACTGTGGTGGTCATGGCTGGCGGTGGGTTGGCGACGTGTGGCGCTACCGTCGCGTAGTGAGGTGACTGGCCAGAGCTGGAGCTCGGGAACGGGGGACGAGGTCAAGGTCGATGCCACGCCGACCGTCGCTGGGCTCGAGGGGAGGGGGGGGGGGGGGTAGCCATGGGAGGGATGGAGAAGGAGGATGGAGAAGGATGGCCGTGATGCTCATGGTTGTCACCCTATTTGATGCTTGCACAGACAGCGACTCCATCGGATGGAATAGCTGTTGTGCATGGCGACAGCCTACAGCTACAGCTATATACGCGCCATACGCACCCAGCACTCACTCGACCGTCAGCTGCCTCCACCGCCAACCATCCTCAATCATGGCTACGACCAGTGACCAATATTATGCAACAAATGAGCCGAAAACAGCGGAAATGGGCTCGCGGGAGCCGAACAGACGCGCCAGCCACCACACGACCAAGGCCATTGCCATTCCACTCCAACAGTACCAACCATGGCCAATGTGGTTGTACTAGTCGCGTTTGTTGTCTGTCTCTCTATCACAATCCAAGGTACGTTCTCTCTCTCTCTCTCTCTCTCTCTCTCCCCCCGCCCCCCCGCCGTGCTTGCTCCGGTCACACCTTCGGAGACCTCTTCTGACGGACGCACGGTGGGCGGAGCACGGCCGTCCAACCGACTCACTCTGCCCCCCCCCTTTTTTTTCCCGTCACCAACGCTTCCAAAAAAAAAACCTATTTTCGATGAACATTTCGATGAACGACGTGTACCTCATTGTTGCGCCACCTCCCTACCATGCTGTGTGTGGTATGTGGTGGTGATTGACCAACGTGGTGGGCCTGATGCAATTGCTGTCGTATATGTGTGTTTCGTGGCTGGCTGGCATCTGGGGGTGACTTTCCGTAGCGGTTCGCATCGATCACGGCCTGGTGATGGGCTCCAATCCGTTCCGTACCTCGTTTGCTGTCGAGCTGGTGGCAAAGGACGGGAGCGTGGTGGCCCGCACGACGGCGCGGTATGCTGGCGATGCTCATGTGGCGGCCGACGGCGCAACAGGAGCGTGGGAGGTCGAGCCGCGCGAGCTTGCAGGCCTCCAGCCCAACGTGGCATACGCATACACCGCGACGGAGCAGCGCAAGATGCGCAGCGACGCAGGCCTGGCCCACGACAGCTCGTTTGAGCGTGCCGTGTACACGGGTGAGTACGTGGCGACCGGGCTTGCGGGTGACGACCGTGGCAACGTGCGCCCGCTGTTGTCAAAGGCGACAGTGCCTGCGCTGGCGTTTGACGAGGCGTCGCCCATTGACGACGAGGTTGTGCGGCGAGAGGCGGTGTTTGTCGACCCGGAGCTTGCCGAGTCGCTGGCGCCGGGCATCGAGTTTGAGATGGCAGTTCACGAGGAGATATTCCGGGTCCAGGTCACGTCGACGTCGCGCCGGCTGCACAACGCGCTCGCGGTGAGTGCAACGCTGCTGTGTGCGGCCAAGGACGCCATGGCGCACCAGGCGTGTGGAACTGCGACACTGGTAGTGCACAGGCACGTGGTGGTGGCCAACCTTGTCCACGAGGCCCACAAGGACCCGAGCGCCCCGCTGGAGCACTATCAGCTTCGGTACCATGGAAGTGGCGAGAATGACCCAGACCCGATGCACAAGGTGCGGACCATCGACCAGCAGCGGTTTCCTGACGAGGAGTCTGTGCTTCCGCCGGCCGACGCTGCGATGGCGGACGACGAGTCCAGCGACGCCGCCAACCGGCTAGCATCGGACGACACGACTGCGGGCGGCGTGCCGATCCTGGACGTGTTTGTGGCGTACACGACCGCGATGAAGAACGGGCGCGGCGGGACGTCGGCGGCTGAGGCGCACATTCTGCTCGGCGAGACCGAATCGAATGAGATCTACCAGAACTCTGGCGTCAACATGCACATGCGGATTGTGTACACCAAGGAGTATGCGTACACCGAGCTGAGCTCGGGTTCGAACATGCTTACCGACTTTCGCAACAACAACGGGGTGTTTTCGGACGTGACCTCGATCCGGGCTATGTACGGCGCAGACATCGGCTCGTTGTGGACGCAGACACACGGCGGATCGTGTGGCGTAGGGTATGTGGCAACGTCGATGAACCAGTCGCCGGTGTACGCGGTGGCGGTGTGCAAGCAGTCGTGCGCTGTGGGGTACTACACCTTTGCGCACGAGCACGGCCACAACATGGGATGTAACCATGACCTGGCGAACGACGGTGTGAAGCTCCATCCCTACTCGCTCGGGCATCACTGGAGTGGCAATGCGTACCGGTCGGCCATGGCGTACTCGCCGGGCACGCGGGTCAAGCACCACTCGTCGCCGCTGCGGACGCACAACGGACAGCCGACCGGGGTGGCGGACGTTTCGGACAACGCGCGGTCGCTCAACAACGCCATCTCGATGACGACAAACTGGTACCCAGACACCATTGATTGGTCTGTCGGCACGTACGGCGCTTGTTCAGTCAGCTGCGGCGGTGGTGTCGCGACTCGTCCGGTGACGTGCCAGCTGGCGTCAGGTACGGTCATCGACGATGCACTGTGCGAGATCGAGGCGGCCAAGCCGTCGACGAGCCAGGCATGCAACACCCAGTCGTGCGCGACGTACTCGTGGCAGACTGGGTCGTTTGGCGCTTGCTCGGTGGCGTGCGGCGGCGGAAGCCAGAGCCGCAGCGTGGATTGCGTCGAGTCGGCGACCGGGACGATTGTCGCCGAGACAAACTGCGACGCCGGCAGCAAGCCAGCGACGAGTCAGTCGTGCAACTCGCAGGTGTGTGTGACCTACTCTTGGGTGGCCGGCTCGTGGGGCTCGTGCTCGGTGGCTTGCGGCGGGGGGAGCCAGAGCCGGACGGTCGAGTGCGAGTCGTCGACAGGTTCGACGGTGGCCGATGCCAACTGTGACGCCGGTACGCAGCCGGCAGCGACGCAGATATGCAATACTCAGGCGTGCCCGACGTATGCATGGGTGACGTCGGGGTGGACCACCTGCTCGGAGCCGTGCGGCCCGGAAGGGCTCCAGACCCGGACGGCGACGTGCTACCGCGACGGATCGGCTGTGGTGGCCGACACCTTCTGCACTGATCCCATGCCGGCGCTGCAGCAGACCTGCAACACTGGGTTGTGTGCTCAATCCACACGTGGGTGGCCGGTTCGTGGAGTACGTGCCCGGCGGCGTGCGCGCAGTTGGGGCAAGAGACACGAGTCATCAAGTGCCAGGACATGGCGGTGACGCCGCCGGCTGAGGCGCCGGAGGATGCATGCGACCAGCTGGCGCGGCCTGCGGCAGCGCGTGACTGCCTTGGCCCGTGCGACAACGCGGCGAGCGGGACTGGCCAGGTCTCGGCCGGCGCAGCGCAGGTTGGCGCGGCGCCGTCCAAGGACGAGTCGATGACGTCATCGACGATTTTCTTTGTGGTTGTGGGCGCGTCGGCTTGCGCTGTCTGCCTGGCGGTGTTTGCAGGAGTGGTGGCGATGCGCCGGCGGGCGGCGGCGCGTAACGCGCTCCTCCTCACGATTGCGTCACCGTATGGTGACGAGCAGCCGTATTCACTCGACATGCTTGCCCCGTGCCGAACACAGTGTCGACGGTGGGCAAGAGCTTTGGTGCTGCCGTGGCGGGAGCGGGGGCTCACGCGCCTCTGGCTGCAGGAGCGGGGCGGGGTGGACCGGCAGTGGACACGCCGCTGATGCGGGCGATTGCACCGTTCTCGGGCATTGCCAGTGAGGGCGAGCTTGTGGGTGTGTCGGCCGGCGACGAGTTTATGGTCCTCCGGCACTTTCCGGATGGGTGGTCCGAGGTTGTGGCGGTGGGACGCCAGGACGCCGAGCCCGGTGTCATGCCGACGTCGTACCTCGGCACGGTGGCGGCCAAGGCGCTGTATCCGTTCGAGCCGCGATCGGACGACGAGCTCGCGATGGAGATGGGGATGGAGATGTTGGTGTTGGAGCGGTACGACGACGGATGGGCTCTAGTGCGGATGGGGGCCACCGAGGGTGTGGTGCCGCTCACCCACATCCAGGTCACGCCGCTCCGCTCCAAGCCGCCCAAGACCAAGTCGCGGACAAAGCGGCCGTCCGCTCCAGCGCCGGTGCCTGCAGCCGCGCCCGTGGCTGTGGCGGTTCCGGCGCAGCTGGATGCGATGGCGCGGGCAAAGGCCAGTACGCCGCTACCGCCGGTGCCGTCGTCGGCAGAAAAGAAGAAGAAGTCCAAGTCCAAGAACGCAGCGCGGACGTCGCCCAAGGTCCAGCCTGCAAATAGCGCCGAGCGAGCCAAGCCGCTGCCGGCCAAGCCGCTGCCGGCCAAGCCTCTGCCGGCCAAGCCTGTGCCGGCGGCAGCGGCCAGTGCTGCCAAGCTCAAGCCCAAGCCGCTGCCGCGGCCAAGCACGGCGCCGGTTACCAAGCCGGTTGCCAAGCCGGTTGCCAAGTCACTGCCGAAACCGCTGCCGAAGCCGACACCCAAGACTGCGCCCAAGCCAGCACCCAAGCCAGCACCCAAGCCAGCACCCAAGCCGGCGGTTGCGCCCAGGCCCAAGCCCGCGCCCAAGCCGGCACCCAAGCCGGCACCCAAGCCAGCGGTTGCGCCCAGGCCCAAGCCCGCGCCCAAGCCGAAAGGCAAGCGAAAGCCAACGCCGCGTTTCTGACGATTTCACTGTGGATGCGAGGGAGAGGAAGTAGCGAGAATGAAGACAATCACTCGAGAGTGAGGGTCTGCGGCCGGAAGGTCTGGTCGGCGTGGATAGGGATGCGGAGCGAGACGGCGTAGCCGTAGTCCGAGTAGGCGTCGTCCGAGTAGTACGACTGTGAGTAGGGCGCGGAGCGACCTTTGTGCGAGTTGCGTGACGGGTAGCGGCCGGCGCGCGGCGAGGCCGACGGCTCGCGGGTGAGCGCAGTGGTGGTCTCGCCCGGGCGCAGAAAGTCGACGTAGTCCGTGTCGGCATCAAACATGGACGGGTGGATGTGTCTGCGACGGCGTGGCGGAAGAAATGACGACGTGTTCGAGGTTGGCGGCAAGCGAGAACGGTACGCGGCGCGGGCGTTGGTCGAATACGACGAAAGCTCCCGGTTGCGGAGCGAGTACATCGCCATGTCGGTCGAATACTCACTCTCCGTTGAAGACGAGAGCGAGGGCGGCGTCGCGCGATCGCCTGAAGACTCGCTGGACAGCGGGGCGGGTGCGGCGCGCGACCTTTTCTTCTTCTTTGCCTTGGTCTTTGGTGCATAGTTGGTGGCGGCATCGGCCGAGTAGGATGAGTCGGTGGCTGGCAAGAGACCGCGGTAGCCGGCCGCATCGCCCGAGTAGGATGATGGTGCAGGTGCGGCGTGGTCACCCGCCGAGCCATCAGAGACCTCTGCGGCCGCAACCTTCTTGTTTTTGCCCTTCTTGCCCTTCTTGCCCTTCTTGCCCTTCTTGCCCTTCTTGCCGCGCTTCGGTGCGTAGTTGGTGGCGGTATCAGCTGAATACGACGAGTCCGCCACGGGCGAGAGGCCCTGGTAGCCGGCCGCATCGCCCGAGTAGGACGAGAGCGCAGGTGCGGCGTGGTCGCCCGCCGAGCCATCAGAGACCTCTGCGGCCGCGACCTTCTTGCTTTTGCCCTTCTTGCCCTTCTTGCCCTTCTTGCCCTTCTTGCCGCGCTTCGGTGCGTAGTTGGTGGCGGCATCAGCTGAGTACGACGAGTCCGCCACGGGCGAGAGGCCCCGGTAGCCGGCCGCATCGCCCGAGTAGGACGACATTTCCCGCTCGGAGCGGCGAGTGAATGCTTCTGTAGTTCGGCGAAGGTGATCAGTACCATACGACGAGGCTGAGCCCGCTGGTGACGATGAGAACGCCGTGTCTCTAGGTGAGTTGTAGGACGACGCAGCAAGCGCAGCACGCGACATTTTCTTCTTCTTTGCGTTGGCCTTTGGTGCGTAGTTGGTGGCGGCATCAGCTGAATACGACGAGTCCGCCACGGGCGAGAGGTCCCGGTAGCCGGCCGCATCGCCCGAGTAAGACGAGGGCGCAGGTGCAGCGTGGTCACCCGCCGAGCCATCAGAGACCTCTGCGGCCGCAACCTTCTTGCTTTTGCCCTTCTTGCCATTCCTTCCCTTCCTCCCCTTCTTGCCACGCTTCGGTGCGTCGTTGGTGGCGGCATCGGCCGAGTAGGATGAGTCGGTGGCTGGCGAGAGGCCCCGGTAGCCGGCCGCATCGCCCGAGTAGGACGAGAGCGCAGGTGCGGCGTGGTCGCCCGCCGAGCCATCAGAGACCTCTGCGGCC